TAGGAGACCTGGTGATTTTTATGGTATTCTTACTTGCTGCCATTATAATAAACACCTTTGTATCTATGTCTATGTCAATTTGTCAAAAACATTTATGAATTTCAGAAAAAGATACTACATCAATCAGAACATTGGTTGTGTAAATTACCTAGGGATAAGCTTCCAGAAAAATGAATAGAAGCTGTAAATATTTTGGCAGATACCACAATAAAATTATGTATTTCCTGAAGGAGTCTTTACCCAAAGATACATACTGCAAAATATACAGATCAAAATCTGGGGTTTGAAAATAAAAGAAAAAAATCATCTAAACTTCGTTAAAGGATTATTTCGCCTCAACAAATATGCAACAAACGCTGCACAAATAGGTGAATTGAGTGAAATTACCATGGGAATTTTCGATGACATAGTAATTGACTCAGCCACACAATAAAATAAAGCAACAACGTATAAAGAAAATAATTATGAACAAAGATATGTCATTTATGGTGGGAAAAATTGGTGTTTGAAAAATTAAACTAAGGATATATGCTATATTTAAAACAAAATACAAATTTCAGGAATTCTCAGCTATACTGAATCCAAAACAAAGAATTCCAGAACCAAGTTAAAAAACAAGTAACCATAATCAGGAATCTATTGAAAAAAAAGAAGGCATACAACTTCAAAATCATATCCCTCGTACGAACACCATGCGCGTTGTCAGAATTCCCACGAATGACACTTGTATTGAAACAATGTCAAGCTACGCTTGTGTGGCAATGTGGCACATAGGCACCTGACAGTGTATGGCACCACGTGTATTATTATAATTATAATAAACATTATCACCTGTGACAACACAGTCTGTAGTACATTTCATCACGATATGGAAGTGTACTGTACTTTTATTCAATGTATTGCCGGGAAACCTGTTTGGGTGTTTTGAATCACAGTCCTATCATAAAAATATCAATTTGGATCACGTGATTTACCTTATAAAAATACATCTTGCCTTATACTAGGGACACCTGAGTTCACATTTCTAAAACCACCTTTTTACTCAGACTTGATTATCTGTGTACTCCACTTGTTTTCTCTCTTGGCCTGGCCGTTTGGCCAACGCCAATTCACACCACACTACGTCCATTTATTGACAATTATTTTTTAACAGAAGATTGAATATGAATTGGAGATGTTTTTGTGTCACATGGCGGCCCTGACTGATTGGACCCAGGGTTTGAACATCCACTTCATTGCCTGTATTGTTAAAATACATCATTGCAATAAATAACCAAAGAAAAGCACAGAGCCATATATCAACTTGACCCCATTCACTCCAAGGTCACTTTCCCAAAGCACGCAAACAACAGGTCTATATAATGCACACCAACTCCACCATACTTTCCATCAACATTTCACACTGTATTGCAAACTCTAAATATATTCAATGTCACACTTAGACAGCAAATTTAAATTTACTTAGTGACAACTATGTTGAGAAATGTAGACATAACACAACATGAAAGTATTTGAAGCGGGAGAGTCGTCACCTGCGCGTGCGTCAGATGGCCACAGAGTGTCATTGTTTACAAACATGCGTCTACCCATGAGACTTTGCGTTTTTAGCGTGTGTTGTTATCGTCGCTTGGGACTCAATTCCTGCGCGTGCGTAGGGGACGACCCTTCCGCTTTAATGTTTACTTAAAGCCTTGTTTTGCATTATGGGCCAGCTATATGGATATTGGATATTCAGTATAATGCTAAACCAGACCACACAACAATAACATCAAATAAAATCTCAGAGGTAGTTCATATATTGCAAATGTATAGAAAATAAATACGCTCTGCCCAAATAAACTCCCAGCTAACAAAACAACAAAAAATACCTATTAATATACTAGTGGCTATATGTAATATTTTATGAAAAATAAATAATAAACTTTTTTCTAAAGAAATATTTCGAGACACCTTAGTAAGCAATCCGAAAACGCAAGTACTTTCCTTCAAAATTCCTATCTATATCACGACTTAAGATCAAATAACAAATACGTTGCATATGTCTTTGTAATTCTCTCCGGGAAATAAGTTGAGAAACGGTGGAGGAAATCAAATTTTGATCTGTTTTTTGGATATAAATTGCCGACAAATTTCTCATTCCAGATTTATATCTAGATCTTCGCCACATCATATTGCTTGTAGATATGTGTTTGTTTTCTCAATTAAAAAAAGGTTTCTCTAATGCACATGCTTAGAATATCACTATATTTCTTACCTTTAGTTTATTTATAGCACTGAAATCATAAATAAATTGCTAAAACTCATTTCGATGCTTAAATTCAAAATGCTTGTAGCAATAACCAACAAAACATTTATGAACGGTAAATATGGCTGCATTGACTGGAAACGCTCGCAGTAAGTTTGCTGTAATTCCTTTGAGAAACACACGGTAACCTTCTGCTTTAATACTCTTGCGTATACAGTCAATGGTACCACGGTACAATGGGGTTCCTTTGACGCCATCAGCCTGAATACGTGATTTGATTACATCTGTTGGGTGCGATACAACCCAAGACAATGTACCAGCGATCCCACCAGATATGATCATTTCAGGCCAATTTAGCTCGTTTTGTGGATGTCGGGATTGGAAATAATTACACACCGACTTATCTAAACCAAAATATACTGCAAATCCTGGAACATCCCTGATGAGTGTAGAATTCATTCCACGATAACATCCTCTTATTCCTTCATCAATACATATCTTGTATATACATCTTAGGGAGCCTTTGTATGCATGACTATGTGTTTTATAGTAACGATGACTTTCCCCTTGTCCTTGTAACTGTACTCGTACTTTAGCCAGTTCCATGGGACTTGCCACAACACACTGCACAGCACCAGCTGCAGCACCAGACATGTAATGACTGAATACAGAATCTATGTTAAACTGTCTCTGAAGATTGGCTTCAACGCCAAATAGGATGGTATTTAAAAATGCCTGTCCAGCCATTGGCGACGCAAGCCCTTTAAACAGACCAAAAAACTAAAAGATAAAACAAATAGCAGTTTTACATTAGTAACATTTTTATATTGTGTTGTAAATTGTTATTAAATTCCAGAATATATGGCGTTAAAACAAACAAACCTCACCCCTTCGCTTTTAACAATGGAGGTCAGACAATGCCAGGTAGATCTATAGGCATGTTTTGGTACCGTTTCAAGCTTCATAGCATGCATCTAGATACAGAAGAATACAATATAGATTATTACTGTATAATAACATACAGCTGAACTTCATTGACCAATAAGTAGTATAAACTGGGTTTATATTTACATACAAGCCTGTACTACGATAATTGTATGTACATTATGCGTGTTGGAAACCATAAACCCCAATAAATAAAGGATCTACGTGGTAGCATGAAATGTTATTACAAGACACCTATTTAGCTTTTAAATTCGGCTTTATTCTAATTATTTGTAAAATTATGAAATTGCTAAATCTACTTGAATGAGACTCACTGTCAAATGTGGATAGAAGTTTGATAGATGTGTTTTTCACCTGTGTATGTTTTCTTGTCGAGGTTGCTATCAATTTAAAATAAAAAGTACTTACCCCATTAACGACAGACTGCCGTCCACCTTGAATTTGTAAACGAACCTAGCAACGAGATACAATAGTGTATATATTCAATATAGGGTGAATTTTACCAAATTGGTATTATGCAGGTCAAATTCATTTTAGAGAAAGATTACCTGTATACTTGAGAATAAATAAACATATTACCATGGCAGTCTTGGAAAACAAATGTATGAACTTTCTACCCTTCTCAAGTCACGTAGAGCTGATTTTACTGTATTTCACATTTACTCTTTATTTATTAGGTACTTCATGCTACTATAAATTATAACAATTTAGTTGGGAAACGGTTAGTAGTTTGAAGTCAGATCTTTGAATTTCTATCGTTTAAAAGCACTAGATATAAAATATTAGATTTTGGCGATGTGTTGCTAGTTTTTCTCAAAGATCTACCTTTAGTAAATTTCATTTATAAATATTGGATTACAATACTATATTCTTGTATGAAAAGATGGGAAATACAGATTATTATATTGACACAAAATACAGTCAAAAGTTGGAAAATCTGCTCCACATGATCATGACCTGCGAAAGCTGAGTAGCTGACATATTTGTTGAGCATGGCTGCTAAGATATAAGCATGTACCAAGGTGTGCTTTCTCGCCAATGTTGAACAGATATTATTCACACAAGATAGTACACATGTTTCCATTCATTAGATTGGAGATGTTATATGACTGCTTTGGTGTAAATAAATACCATGACAACTTTCCCCACTTGTTTCAGTATTTGTTATATTGTTTATGGGATATTTGAGACCATTGTTATGAAAGGAATAAATGTCACGTGTTTCAAGTAACTATAGTGTCATGATTGACATATGCACAATCTTTAGAATCACTGTAGTATGTGTGACAGTTAATCCAGGCATTATATTAGATATATTCAAATCACGTGATGACAACTGACTCACCTTTATTGTATCGAGGGGGTGACCGACAACAACCCCGGCAATACCTGTAATGAAAATAACGTTATTTATTACATTATACAGCTCCTATACAGCACTTTGGTAGTTCCATTTCGTCGTTACGTTTCATTCACATGTCGATGTCAGTTAATTATCACGGGGGTAAATTCTTCTCCACGGGGTTCTCCACACTTGCCAGGGGGGAAAACTCGTCTCGTCTCTTTATCTCGTCCCCTTGAGCTACGGGGTCGGGAAAGTCACTTTAACTTTACAGTCAAATAAGGCACACACAACGAAATACGTTTCAACTCTCGTCTTAGTCGATCTTTTGGAGCACTCTATAAGACACAGCGCCCTGGGGAAAAGTCCCCAAGACTCTCACAAGGCTGAACCAAGACTCGCCCAAGACTGGACTGCGTCAAGGCTCGCCCCAAGACTGGACTCTCCACTGCACTCTCTCTCTACTGCGTCTATCGTGCTGTGCTCCTCCAAGACCAACTCAAACTCTCTTTATTCATTTTCAAAACTCTAACCAATTACAAAACAGTAAAAAGACTCTAGGGCGTAACCTTCAATCATAAAGCCAATCACACTAAGTACTGAATACGTCATATCTTTTGATTAATCGTTCACTACATTAATAACTATGGATGTAAACTGTCAGAATGAGTAGTCTAAAAAGCGGCGGTTATCTGGTAATTAGTTCCAAATCACTGAGCCAAGTTCCGTCCAAAACTTCAAATAGACCTAAACGATGACAGACATAACACAGCAATTCAGCTAATAATCAGTTAATTAAGTCGGTCAACAGATACGCGAAAACAAATTCATGACATAATGACGAGAATTTGCCCAAATTGCGATGATAAACATCGAATATATAAACCATGGAAATTAGAAAAAAATGTTTGTGTAGCTTTATCATATCTTTTTTTTATTGTCAATAGCTTTATTATTATTATCTACATATTGTTTTTACTGTTGTTGTGCATGCAGTAATGCTTTAGTGTTTTGGCGAAAACAGGTCGAAAGATACTTATTCTAATCAATTAGTATTGTCAGTGTTATTATTTATTCATTTTATTTTCTGTTGCGCTTTTCTAAGAGTGCCAGATCCCTCCCAGAGTTTCTTGCCGTTAGAAATATAACTCTGTGTGGGATATTGGTGGTTGTAGTAACCCTGGTAATGAATAAAAGCTCCCCCAGAAAGTCATGTAACTATGCGAACGTAATACGGTGAAGTACATTAACGGCCATGACAAAACGATTTTACATATTTGAAATGCACGTTTGGCATTTTTGGCACGTTTGAAACTGTAACGTTTTTGACTTTCGGCATTTTGACACTCTGAAACCCGACTTTGTCGATGTAATACGTTTGGTGTTTTTGACACGTTAATTGATATGTTGGTCACTTTTTGGTACAGTAACCCGACTCTGCCGTCACAATGCTTGCATGCTGGGCATGTTCGACACGGGAGCATTAATTTTAATATTGTGTTCAACCCATTCATATTTATCTGAAATAATGTATCATATTACTAATGTCAAAACACTCAAAAATAAATTCAATAAAATCACTCCAAAACACGACAAAAACAATTACACCACTTCCCTTATTTATATGACGTGATTTAATGCCGACTTATTCATGAGAAAAAACTTACACAGTGTGATACAAACCATAATAAACACTGCAAATACAAATAGTAAAAATAATATAAAAAAGCCACAATAATTATCCTCTGTGATGTTTGTTAATATCAAGTGGTTGCTGGAAACACACATAATAAATCAATAAAAACACTGTACTAAGTATTGTTGAAAACGAGATACATAATAAAGACAAGCCGGTAGGCTGGTTGGCGATCCGCTCCGCTCAAAAACAAGCACCATGTTTTTGGCTGTTTCCATGGTGTGACATAAACGCGAAGCTAACGTCGGTTTATAACTAATACGAAGTTCGCAAACACCATTCAGTTTTTGGAAGTCACTTAGTTTATTACAAGGACCACAATCACTCTCCTAGTCGAGTGACTGTGCTAGGACGTATTCTGCTGTTACATTTATTATTTCCAACCGTTTTGCGATAGCATTTTCTAGAATGAAGCGTTTCCTGTAAATGCTGGAAAGCGAAATAATAAAATAACGAGATGGTAAACAAGCCGGTCAAAAACAAGCAACATGTTTTTTGGCTGTTTCCATGGTGACATAAACGTGAAGCTGACGTCGGTTTATAACTAATACGAAGTTCGCAAACACCATTCAGTCTTTAGAAGTCACTTAGTTTAGTACTAGGACCACAGTTACTCTCTCCTAGTAGAGTGACTGTGCTAGGATGTATTCTGCTGTTACATTTATTATTTCCAACCGTTTTGCGATAGCATTTTTTAGAATGAAGCGTTTCCCGGAAATGCTGGAAAGCGAAATAATGAAATAACGAAATGGTAAATATTTACCTAAATTGCAGTGTGTTGACCTTCATAACAATATACTTCATAATGCAAAACACTAG